ATATATATATATATATATATATATATATATATATATATATATATTGAAGAGACTAATGATACACACTTACCTGTATTTAATGAAATTAGATGTTAATTCCGTTATCGCATCCATTACGTCAACGTAATTTGACATCCAAATTGCAATCAAGATGTAATTCTTGTTGATCAAAATGAGCTTTCACTCAAAACCTCTTATGATTTACATGTTACTGTTGGCATTTAGAACTTGCAACTGTACTTTGGCCACAATGCGTGCCTAAACATACCGATACATACGTATATACCTATCACGCAATAAATTTTTAAGGTATATTCTAATATCTGAGCTAAGATTTATGCGCGTTCTGTTTTATCACTTGCATACGAGCACAGCATTTTGCTTTATATTTCAGGGCAAGGTCTCACAGTTTTCCATATCGATTTATCGAATTCGTAATTTTTGCGATAAAACCGTTCGTATAACGTAGCGAAAGGGAAACGAGAGAAAATCCGTGCAAAAATATAATTTTAGTTTTCATTTCAAACGAACATTGTTATATTTATGAAATATACGTTTATTACGAACGAAATTTATATACCGTCAGATTTGTAATCGATACATTTCATATTATTGGCCGAAGAATAAGTAATTTAAGTAAACACGTACTTTATCAAAAGTTACATCGCGATCCCTCGTGATTATCTTCACGCGCTACTCGATAATGCCATGCTCGATGTAAAAGTCAAATTGTCGTTAGCAACAAACACCTATACATATACGTGCATAAACGGACACTTTGTGTGATCCAGCCTTTATCGGATATTTTCTCCTAACAACAAACGTTCCACTTTAAAGCGTGAAGACAACGCGGAAAAAGAGGTTCAGAATGCGTGTTTCACTATTGGGTTAAGGTCAGGTTAATTGATTAACGATATTCGGATGGCCTCACAGATGTTATTTTTAAATTTTTCAACGCAAGCTCGTGGGCAGTTTAACTCGCTATCGTTGTGCAGTTACATCGGTCTCACATCAAACTTCATAATATCATCACCAAGATTTCACGTACTCTTCACTAGTAATCTGAAGTCATATGTAGAAATCTCTTCAAAATCTATATCGATTTCTTGCTGCAACTACTTCCAAGTTTATGACATTTATGATTCTTATTGTAAAATATTTAAACGTAAAATGCTTTGAGAAGTTATAATAATTTTGAGACAATGTTTCTGTACGTCACAATAATAAATTTTACATAATTGTTGGAGACTTTTCAATTTAAAGATTTATTCTTATAACCATCTGCTTGTT